TGTGATACCCGAATAAAATATTTTACCATCGAATAACCATTCGACATGCATACCGCAGATAGCCCGGGAAAAGTACACCGTACACCATAATGTACAGTAGTATATTATACTGTACGGCGTACAATGTACACTCCTGATACCGTTCATCAGAGTGGGCACGGGTGGCCCAGTCGTCTAATGCGCCGCGATTCGCTGTGCAGACTTGCGTCCCTTACGCACGTCAGAAACCTATGATTATGTTTCTAGGTTTGTCAGCACCATACCCGTGTTCGTGGGTTTCACTTCGCGCATCACTTCGGGCTTTCCTCCCACATTAAGCTGACACGCCGTGATATAACTGTAATACTGTTCAAAGCGGCGTTAAACACAACTCACTCACTCACCCGTACATCAGTACCTTATACTGTACACCATCTTCGTACATCTAACTCCCTATGCTGTACACTAGTATACCAAACATACCGTACAGCGTACACTTAACCACTTACAACGTACATCAGTACCTAATACTGAACACTGTACGTCGTATACCTAAATCCGCACATCGTGCGTCGTGCACTGCACATCGTGCACCGTACACCGTGCACCGTGCACCGTACACCGTGCACCGTACACCGTGCACCGTACACCGTGCAACGTACATCGTGCACCGTACATCGTGTATCGTACATCTTGCACCGAACAGCGTACACCGTACATCGTACACCGTACACCTTGCACCTTGCATCGTACACATACTGCAAGGTTTGTTGTCAGTAATCGTTTGTTCACTCAACAATATTCCATCTATATGACGCCGGTCTGTAACTAGCCGAGTCTTGACACCAGACAATCCTGTGATTAATATCCTGAGCAAACGTTTAAGAATGTGTTTCAGGATTAATTAAATTCGAGATTTACCATCGTAACTGTAACAGCCATACGTGGTTACGTAATGTTAATCTCTGGAAAACAATTCATTTACATAAAGACATTGACATTTTGTTTTTCGCTGACGCGTTGTCGCTTACGACAAATATGTTATTGATAATATTCGTGAGCTTGATGTCAAAGCTATTTTAAAGGATAAGTCGCAGTTATGACACAAAGTTGCTAAACAAAACCCAACCGACATAGTACACCTGCAGCAGTGAGAATATATTTTATCTATATTGAGACACATATATTTTACCATAAAGGAGTGAATGAGTGAGTAGGGTTTAACGCCTCTTTTAACAGTATTCCATTTATATCACGGTGTGACAGCACGATGTGAGAGGAAAGCCCGAAGTTATGCAGGTCTTAGATGTTTACCACTTTGGTGAAACCCACGAGAACGGGTATGGTGCTGACAAACCTAGAAACATTATTGGGGCGAACCGGGATTCGAACCCACAATCATAGGTTTCTGGCAGTCCAAGGGACGCAACTCTGCTAAGCGAATCACATCACCTTAGGCGACTTGGCCAACCGTGTCCCCTTTCAATAAAGGAAGAAAGGGTCATTGTAATAGATTAGGATATGTGTGTATTGTCATGACTCTCAATTCTGATTGGTCAGTTGAAGTAACATGTCGTCACATTGTTCGTAATACTAGTAAATTCAATGCGTATTAAAGGCATCCATTTGTCGGAGAACCAGGGAACTTCTCTGAAGTTCCTTATTTATTTTCTTTCTGACAATCACACTGGGTGATACATAGACAATCTCACCGAGGCTTGCCGAGAAGTATTTCCACTTGTATCAACGAGTGTTGATATTTTTTATATCAAAAGACACGAGATTGAGATTTTATTTATCATGAATCATCATTCTTCCAACTTTTTCAGTTTGTAGACAGTAATAAGCAGTGTTTTAAGTGTAAAAGTACTGCTAACAGCTTCAGTAGCAGAACCATTAGTGATGTCATTTGATTGTGACGTCATGGTAACAAGCATTGTGATGCAATCTCACCCAAGCGATATCTCCTGTGGGAAACAGTTTTGGATGATAAATCGAATAACCAACTTGAAACATGGAATAGTGGATTATCGTCACTCATGAATGACTAGCTGATAACCCTCAACGCAGATTCGGTCTCATATTTCAATCAACCGGCATAATCCGATATACTTGTTGATTCTTCTCCCGAGATCCGTAAACTGTTAACAAACGTTACATGAAAACTGGGTATAGATTTTGTATACATGGTGGTGTAATAATAAAATTTGGGCAATCAGGATGTCTGCATTGCAAAGATTAACAAAGATTAGTTGTCCGTGATATGTATAATATCGATTAAATAAGCAACGGGATCTCCAACAGCACCGCCACACCGTCTTCGTCTTCACTTGCAAACAGTCCAATGCCACCGGCTACTTTCATACACATCTGTTTTATCTTTTCTATTAAACACATGTCTTACAACGCCTCAGACTCATAAATGTCGGTTCCTACGTACATGGTCATTATCGCAGCAGCATCGTTAATAATGATATGATCAAGTTTTCGTTTCTGAAACGATAATGATATCATTTGATGCTTATCAAATCAGTCTTTAATTAAAACCTTCGTTATCAGTTCAAACAGGAAGTCCTGTACAGAGTTGTATGTCTAGAGGGGTGATTTCGATTTTCCAGTCGTGACTTTCCCCATAATGTCGAGCAACGTACCATCAGACCCAGCTTATGGCGTCTACATTTCTCAGATGGTTACTCATTTAAGAACATGTACATTTTGTTCCAATTTCAAAAGGAAACAATGCCAATTTGCTTACCGCTATGCTTTCACCATCATAGGACTGGATAAGCTATTCCAGATTTTTTAGGGTAGACGTTCAGATGAAATTTACTAGTAATTATTCCGCGTCGCTTGATGCTATCTATACCCGGAGTTTTCACCCCATCTTACTCACAGACACTTTTCTTTTTAATGGAAATTGTGTAAGGTGGTGGGTGCTGCCGGTAGAGCAGGACTTGTTTGCGAACACCTGGTGTCATCAGTTATGTTCAGTGATTCATACATATGATTTTCATCACTATTTTCTATTTTGCACCATGGAATCAGTTCGGAATTTTCTCGAGACTACTATTCTCTGGCATGGATGGTTTGAATTATGATCGGCGTAACGTTTACATTGAGATCTGATCAGCATAATCCATGTCTTTATTTGTTCTTAAATATCCACGTCCATGCCTCTTATACAGGAAACTTCGTTTATAACGAACACGCTTATAACAAACTGGTGATATAACGAATTATTCTTCGTCATGGACATTTGCTGTATATATGCTTAAAATATGCTTAAAACGAACTACGGTTATAACGAACTAAAACTGAGTGGTCCCTTGAGTTCGTTATAACCGTACTTTACTGTACTGACATTGACGAAGTATCGTTGGCTTAAGGGGATCGTCATTCCCCAATTCAACATGGTGATGGTTGAACTTCTGATCTGATACCAATATGTCTTAACAGGTCCTTTCGGTCAAACAGTTGTCTCACAAGCATTAAATAATCTTCATTTCCTATCTTTTAATTCACAATACTAGATCATTTACATTTACTAGAAACGTTACAGTTAGCTATGCAATAATTCAAGACATGGAAAAGATCGTACTTATGAACAAGGCGCTGCATGTTGAAACAGGGAGATATATATTTTGTCAAAATCTGGTTGACATTCTGTTAACAAGTCTGCTAATAAATAGTTGTTTGGAATAGAAGTCACAGCTAGATCGGCACAGTTTACCAAATAAGTGCAGAGCTTGTTTATCAATGTATGCCTGAATGGTTAAAGATCTAGACTATCCAATACAACTTGACTTGATGTAAATCTTAGTAGAGCCTGTAAATATTTACTGAAGTATCGCTGTGGCATTTCAAGCATTCATACTCTCTACCAGTAAGTTGCTCCCATACATTGCATCTAAATAAGGCACATGGTAAGATAACTCTCTGTAGTATTCGCAAGCTGCAACTGGGTTCAACCCGGCGAAATACAAACCATTGTTATGGTTTACATTAATAAGTCTTTTTCACATGCAATACGCGAGCTATTCCAGTGTTGAGATACGGTGACTAAGGCATGCCCAGCATCCGTTAAAGAATTCCTGTGTGGCAATTCTAGCTTTCCACAGGGAACATAAGGGTCAAGTACATAATATTTACAGTGCGAAAATACTACGACTGCACTTAATACGTAACAGATTTTGCAGGGCTGATGGAGAGCTACTGACAATGGATGTATCGTCTAGTAGCAGTTGACCCGGATAGTGACCCCAAGGTAAACGGAGGCCGTAGCCAGAATTATGAAGCTGGCAAATGAGATCATTGGTGTATATATGACAAGTCAGGCAGATAATGCACTAACTAAACTTTAGTGGTGCCTTGAGGTCGTAATAATAGTAGTTCACAAGGTGATGGTTTACCTGGATTCTAAATCCAGTTTATCATAGATCTGAAAACAAATATGACGATGTAATACTATATTTAAGTGAGTGAGTGAGTGAGTGAGTTGGGTTTAACGCCGCTTTTAAAAGTATTCCAGTTATATCACGACGTGTCAGCTTAATGTGGGAGGAAAGCCCGAAGTGATGCAGGTCTCAGACTTTTACCACTTCAGTGAAACCCACGAGCACGGGCATGGTGCTGACAAACCTAGAAACATAATCGGGGCGAACCGGGATTCGAACCCACAATCATAGGTTTCTGGCGTGGCCAAGGGACGCAACTCTGCACAGCGAATCGCGGCGCCTTGGACGACTTGGCCACCCGTGCCCCCACTATTTTCAAGAACTGATTTCAATGTAGTTTGCGTTTATACAGGCGTAAGAATATTTGCGTACATGTAAACATCGTGTAAATCCGTTAGCACACTATAACGCAAAACATATTGAAGTCAATTATGAATACATACACCAACACTAATACATTCACAGATGTATACTCGTACGATGTGGCTGAAATATTGCTGATGTGACGTCAACGTAACATTTTAACTCCCTCACTCACTCACAGATGTATATGAAGCTTTAACTCACTGGTGAACTCCACCCCGACCTCCTCCTTCAGCATGGTCTCCGTGTCGTGTATCCTAGGGAGGAAGATGTGGAAGTCGTAGTCCAATTGGTACTCCTTGCTGTAGTAAACCAGCGCGGACGACGCCAAGAAACAAAACCTTGGCGTAACGTCTGTGTGACCTTCACCTTCATAGATCACCTTCATCCGCGTCCACTTATAATAACGTGCAATCGTTATCACCGAAACTGCCAGGGAGTTGAAGGTCACCCCCACTCGGGTCAAGGTCGAATACTCTGCATCCGGGATGCGTTTGTCTGCACCAAAGTCATGCGCAAACCCTCCAGGGGACACCACCGGGACATTCCAATATGGCGCATACCGTGCCACGGGAGCGAGGCTGTAATCACAGATGGGCCCCAGGAAGACATCAACATTTTTATGACGGTAAAAGTCAAATGCCTTCAGAGGAGCCTCTTTAGAATTGCACTTCGAGTTCCCGTACTGCACGGTGATGTTGACGCGCGGTAGTAAGAACCTTTGAGTCACGTGGGCTATAGCGACGTCAAGGACGGGGGCGATATGGTGAGATGAAAACTGACGTCGTGTGTCTTCCGGGATAATCACAGCCAGCTTGACATCCGTTGTGGGAGACGAAGCCCATGTTAGTCTCAGGTAAAATAACCACAGGAAGAGAATTGTACGTAACATTTTAACTTCAGACGCTAATGCCTACAAAGACTTGCCACACAGCTAGCTCTATGAGCGTAGGGTCAAAGGGCCACTGCAGAATCGATGTACCCTGGTATGTAGAGACTATTGTTTACCAAGTTATTCACATACGCGCGAGAATGAAGTGGTATCTCTGTACAACACTATGTACACCCCACTACGCCGACACCGATGTGCTCTAAGTGTAACACCCACACAATGTCGAATCCTACCCCAAGTGAGACATAGTGTCGCTCCCAGTGACATCCACGAAGTATGTATACATTGGTATCAATGTATGGCTACCATTCCATTTGGACGGAGAAGCACAAGAGGTCGGAAACATATGTCGCGGATTATGAATTGTCGGCAATATGCACATGAACGGGAAATATGTTGGGGAAATAATAGTATAATCACATCACATGGTATATATTTCATACACCTCGCATATCAATGATTTAGCTAGCACCTGTTGGTCGACGTACACATTGACACTGCTCTAATTCTGAAGTAATTTCACTCATTCGTTACTGCAGGATAATGGTCACCAGTGTTTTATGAATTGTTCAGCTTAAGGATGTTTTCCAAGGGACAATTGCCCTAGAGATCTAGACCTCTCAGCTGTAATCCACACGTAAGAATCGCCGACGACGGTCTTCGTGTTAACCGCGCCTACCACGATGCATAGATTGACGTTGTCAGTTGGATAAATCCGCGAGCTTTGTTAATATGGCACCATGTGTAACATTGTCAGTTACCCACAGAAACACCAAGTCAGTTAATGATCACGGTGTGAACTGCGCTCCTGCGACGTCAGTTACGTCATCGGCGACGATCCACGGTTTAAAGACGTGAGCTACGGCGTCAAATATGTCCGGTATCACGACGTCGAAACGCTAACGTCAGTTATGTTTAGGTGGTCGAATGTAATCCACAGTTTAACAACGTGAGTACCAGTTGGCTGCCAAACGTCCAAAGTTAGGTTCCATGAGTGTAATATCAGATATGTTCCAACCTATGGGTTCCAAACAGGGTAGGTACTCACAAGAGTTCTTGTTCGTCCGGCAGCGTCCCTAATCAGCTGGTCAGCTGTGATTCATGGGTTAACATATCAAGTAGCCTTATAGTGATTCACGATTCACACATGTCAGATCGTGTACTGGATGATGCGGCACTTCAACACACTGCCGCCCGGGGCCAAGAGAGTATGATACTGCCTGGAATAGTGTGCTTCTCAATGAGAGTGTTTCCTATGACCAGTAAAGAACCGTGTGTCCCTCGGTGACCTGGGTTGGAGTAAGGTGCTTACAGTTGTCGTGGGTGATGTAAGCTGGCTTAATCCTAACACCCTATTTCTCCAAGCTTTGATCGCTTTGTGGCAGGTGGCCGTATAACTTTAACCGTGACGGAAGCTGCTTATTGTGGAGTAATAGAGTGAACAATATAACGTCATATCTTATAGCAATCTCTGTCAACTGATGTTTGTTATATTGCCAGAGAAGCATTAAGTTGTAATAGCAGTTGAGTGACAGATCCGCAGCGATTACAGAATAAAACTGTAAAACCCTTCGAGTAGGTAAACAGACAAAAGGGCTGATATAACCGGACTCACAAAACAATTGAAGTCCATTGCATCATCCGTGTTGTGGAAGAACACAAGCTCTTGGCAATATTTCCAATTAATTGTACCATTTCCTCTAAGTTCATTGGGAAACCGCGTTTTCCCAAAATTAGTGATTTATACCAAATGCTTTTTTAGTTTTGACTTCAGCCTGATAAAATTTAATGAGAACTTCACTCTCTCTAATTCTCAAAGACTACCTGAGTTAAACGTTCCTCAAGATGAAAAGTTGTACCTGTGTTTCAATTGGGAGGTTTCTGAATCTGGGTGAATCTCCCTTTACCTCGAACTCACTCTGTGTCGACGTTTTCACTCAAAATAATAGTCCATGTATATCGAAGCACATAATCATGTGATCAAAGTTTCGCATGAATGACTTTCACTGTGACTATTGTCAAATGAGACTGTGGCGAAGATTTCACACTGCGGAGTAGAGCTCCTTGTATCTCGAAGTCAACATCCGACCAAGGCTTTATATAATATAGTACATTTCCAAATATCTCGAAGTCAAGTTGTGATCAAGGTTTCACAGGACAAGACACCATTCCAAATATGACGAAGGACGTCTCCGAACAAGGCGATGTATAACAGAGAATAACAAATGTATCAACTAGTCAACTCGTGATCACGGTTTCACATGGCAAGACATCGGTCCATATATCGTAAAGTCAACCAGAGATAAAGGTTTCACATGTTTCACATGCTTCACTCAATCACATCCCGAACACTGCATTCATTCAGCTAATTTCTTCTGAAAACGTCAACCTCAAGGTAAAGCCACTTGACTGTGGTGTGTGTGTGTTACGCCTAACTCTTATCAAAGCATATTTCATGAATGAGTTCCCCTCTGACTGCGATCCCACGTCACGCACGTTGCACAGGTAAGGAAAATGTTATCTTTCCTTTTGTTGACACTGATGTTGAAGTTAGGTTTGAATGGATTCACCTTCGTTCTGCCTCATTGATGACGACAACAACACCGACTACGCCACAAACCTCACCTAGCTTATGACAAGAGGGTGGTTCCAGGTGACAGTGACATCCCGACATTTTCAAGTCTTTCCCTGACGCAATGGCGGCTGGTTGGTGGGTGCAAATAAACAAATATTGACTTTACCAGCACAGCTTATTCAGCCAGGCTATCACCCACTCCAAGGTGAAACGTGGATTCGAGGAACTGGTAAATCACAGTGTGTTCCGAGGTCAGTTTCTTAGTGCTCTATAGTTCACATATCTGTGCGTGCACTAACTGATATATATAATCAATGCTATAACACGAAGTCGTACTGTCATCTGGTCTGAATATTCACTGAGGCGATATCGTGCTAACATATCATGCTAATTGTAGATATTTATAGAGACGGTGTAGACCGTTAGTCCACACGTGTAAATGACATCCCTTTGCCACGCAGTCGAGTGCTGTATGCATAAAGATCCATGGGTTATATATTAATGGATATTAGCAAATCCAATCTCCAGGTTGAATGTTTGTTCACGTGTGTTATTGTATACTGTCAACACAATGCCGTGACGGTACTTTAAGTTGCAGCATATTTACACTTGGATCAATATAAGGATATGAAATTATTTTTCGCGACGCCAGTATCTCAAGTCAGAAACGTTCACCGTGCAGGACTGTGATTGCACAACACCTGCCGACCTTCTGGTCAAGTTTGCAATTAGTTTGATCTCTGTATTTTTAGACTCTCGAGAAATGGCAGGTAAACAGTCTTGAGAGCTCGGGGCAGTGAAACACCAATGACGTTAGAAATGATGGAATTTCCCCTTTTCTCCTGAAGTCATGATGCTTGCAAAACATAATCATATGGCGCGTTATCAGTCAAGTGCTTCCTTGTTCATGGTTTGTCCTCTTCAATAAACACTTCCTCTTTCAGCGTTTTGAATGCACTCAAATATATTTTGAATACACTTCAATACACATTGAAAATACTTCAATATGTTCCGATGCTTGAATACGTGGTAATATGTGTTCGCTTCTCAATACTCGCTGTATAAACTCCAGTATATATTGAATTATCTTTTGAGTACACTTCAATACACCTTCAAAACACCCCAGTAGATGTTGGATACACTTCAATATATGTTTGTTGCAAATGCTTCAATACCTGCTGAATACGTTGTAATATGTGTACGCTTCTCAATACTCGCTGTATAAACTCCAGTATATATTGAATTATCCCTCTGAATACACTTCTTTACACCTTCAAAACACTTCAGTAGATGTTGGATACACTTCAATATGTGTTAATTCCAAATGCTTCAATACCTGCTGAATACGTTGTAATATGTGTCAGCTTCTCAATACTCGCTGAATGAACTCCAGCATATATTGAATTATCTTTTGAATACACCTCAATACACCTTCAAAACACTCCAGGAGATGTTGGATACACTTCAATATATGTAAGTTGCAAATGCTTCAATACATGATGAATACGTGGTAATATATGTTCGCCTCTCAATACTCGCTGTATAAACTCCAGTATATATTGAATTATCCCTTTGAATACACTTCAATACACCTTCAACACACTTCAGTAGATCTTTGATACACTTCAGATGTTGTCCACACTTCAGTCGATGTTGCAGCTGCTTCAAAACCTGTTGACTACGTTGTAATATATGTCACACGATCCTCATTACTCGCTGCATAATCTCCAACGTAATATAACTAATATAATACCAGGTGAATATGCGTGTTGAAAAAAAATATTAGTTTCACATGACTCTACACATCGTCCGTACTGCTGGTTGGACGAGACTAGGACATACTAACATCCCAATCTTAAAGTTACCTTGTCATTCGCTAGATATAACCCTCGCTTCTTTGTCACTAGCCCGACTCGTCCGCTGCTTGATAAATGTCCCGTTTCAAAAGTTGTCTGGAGCCGACAAGTAAACTCTATTTAATGAGTGTCACGTGACATGATAACGAGAAAAACATGGCTTGCATGTTCTGACGCTGTACAAAAAGTACATCTAGAATTCGATTGCACATGACTTGAAATTTCCTGTATTCCAATCCACGCTCATGTTTCCACGACATACGAGTCCATCCGTCCGAACAAGGAGGAAATAATACCAGTTCAGGTTCCATTGTCTGATATTTTAACATGATAATGGATCCTATGTATGTGCTATTGTTGTGTTATCGATGTAACGGTGTGCTCTATACGACATTGACTTTAAAAAAAGTTAATTTGCAGAATGTGTTGTAAACACGTGGTTGTGGAAGTATTCCGACCCAGCAACAGTTGACGCGATGCAGGTCTCAGACGTTTACCACTTCGGTGAAACCCACGAAGACGGGTATATATGGTGCTGACAAACCTAGAAACATAATCGGGGCGAACCGGGATTCGAACCCAGTCATAGGTTTCTGGCGTGTCCAAGGGACGCAACTCTGCAGAGCGAATCGTGGGGCCTTAGATGACTGGGCCCCCAGTGCCCTCTGAGGTGAGATGAAGTAAAATTGGGTTTAACGTTTGGTTCAAGATCAGCGTACTTCTACAGCATGTGTTTGTGTTTCTGAAGGAGGCAAGGGTGGCCCAGTCGTCTAAGGCGCGATTCGATGTGCACAGTTGCGTCCCTTGGCCACGCCAGAAACCTATGATTGTGGGTTCGAATCCCGGTTCGCCCCGATTGTGTTTCTAGGTTTGTCAGCACCATACCCGTGCTCGTTGGTTTCACCGAAGTCGTAAACGTCTGAGACCTGCATCACTTCGGGCTTTCCTTCTACATAAAGCTGACACGCCGTGATATAACATGAATAATGTTAAAAGCGGCGTTAAACCCAACTCACTCACTCACTTCTGTTTGTGGGTGTGGGTGTGGCTGCCGGACAATGCCGGATATATAGTGTTAGTGCTATGACTATTGAAGCCTATGTTAAGATCATCTTAGCGCTAAGATCGCTTTGTGCAAGTGGGCCCAGGTCGCAGTTTTATGTGGATACCCCACACAATATACTGATTCCAAGTCGCCCAGGTTTTATCCATTTTATTCCAAGCGCCAGGGAAACAACAAGCACCATAATTTGTAGTCTTTTGGTATGACGCGATCGTGGATGGAACCATGGACCTTCCCGGGCAGATGGTCAATCCACTTGACCACTCGGTAGATCAGTAGCACGTCATACTGTACAGTGGTGAATAATAGGAATTGAGGAATACGACGTAGGTTAACCTATTTATTACATACTTCAGTGAGAAAGACTGATGTTTCTGGAGTTGATCATGAGAAAAGTGATATTTTCATTTCAGTGAGCTACCTCCCCGCAAATTGTCTCCCTTTTGTTGTTGTAAGTGTCTGTTTTCTGTCCCGTAGTCCAACTGGTGGGGTGAGGTGAGGTGAAATTGGGTTTAACGTCGCGTCCTTGATTATCGCACTTGTATAGCATGCACGTGTGTGTGTGGCTGCCTGTGCTAGTCCGGACTGAAGCCGATTTATAGTGCTAGCTCACTGAGATACGATGCCGCAGTTTAACATGAATACCAGACTCAGACACAGCATACTGACTCCGAGCCGACCAGTACTTGTTTTAGTCCCTTAATCCCGAGCGTCAGACAGGATAACAACAAGTACCATCTTTTAACGTCTTTTGGTATGACGCGGCTGGGGATCGAACCCCGGACCTTCCGCTCTCCGGGCGGACGCTCTACCATTAGACCACGGAGGCGGTCGTAGTCCAACTGGTGACGTTAGTCCCACTTTGACAAGCAAAAATAGTGACAGATGGTCATTTATGGAGTTAATATCGCTTCTTGCTGTTTACTATAACTTTAATTTATCATTTAACTCGTCCATCGAGACTGGTCGTTTCGCAAAACACCATTAAACAGTCCCAGGCGAATTCAGCGGTAAAATTATTAAAATTCTGCGATACATTTTGACACATAGCCATTCTCCCCTCAAACATTAATACAAACTCATCTGTTGTCTTTAAAAAAAAAAGACTCCCTTGCTTTTAAACATTTCAAGACATACAATTAAGAAAATAAATATGCTTGCTGTCAGATATTTTTATATGGTTAAATATGGTTTATATGGTCGTAATACTACAAAAACTTTCAAAAGAGAATGATTTATTTCACATTTCGTTTTATTGTTGGATTCATATTTTCTATGTTTGAATGACATGTTATGTTTGGTCATCATTCGAGTGCAAAATTCGATACAAAAGCTTGTAAATAATGAAAAATTGTGTATTGGTTGATGAAAAGGATTATTCCGCGATTTTTTTGCAGTTCTGCTGTACGATTTTTTGCAAATCTTTCCGCGATCGTGGATTCGCAGAACACATGTGGACTGGATATTTAATAACAGTTGTTTGTGCATGGCGGATATAGTAGTAGATGTTACGAACTTCTGTGTGATAATGCAGATCAAATGTATCGAACACATAAACCGCTTACGCGTTGCGATTCTCCTGAGGTAAGTGATGCTTGCACGGAGGAATCAACTGCGTTTGTCACAGTCACAGTGTAAAGCCTATTTGTCGCTGTCTGTGTAAAGCCTATTTGTCGCTGTCAGTGTAAAGCCTATTTGTCGCTGTCAGTGTAAAGCCTATTTGTCGCTGTCAGTGTCAAGCCTGATGTCATTGTTACAGTGTAAAACCTGATGTCATTGTCACAGTGTAAAACCTGATGTCATTGTCACAGTGTAAAGCCTATAAGTTGTTGTCCCGGTGTAAAGCCTATTTATCATTGTCACACTGTAAAACATACGTGTCGTTGTCACATCGTAAAGTCTACGTGTCATTGTCACAGTGTAAAGCATACGTGTCGCTGTCACAGTGTGTAGCCTACGTGTCGTTGTCACATCGTAAAGCCTACGTGTCGCTGTCAGCGTAAAGCATATTTGTCATTGTCACAGTGTAAGCCTATTTAGCATTGTCACATTGTAAAGCCTTTTAGTCGCTGCTACAATGTAAAGCCTCTTTCTCATTGTCACAGTGTAAAGCGTATTTGTCACTATCACAGCGTAAAGCGTATTTGGCATTGTCACAGCGTAAAGCGTATTTTGCATTGTCACAGTGTAAGCGTATTTGGCATTGTCACAGTGTAAAGCGTATTTTGCATTGTCACAGTGTAAAGCGTATTTGGCATTGTCACAGCGTAAAGCGTATTTTGCATTGTCACAGTGTAAGCGTATTTTGCATTGTCACAGTGTAAGCGTATTTTGCATTGTCACAGTGTAAGCGTATTTGGCATTGTCACAGTGTAAGCGTATTTGGCATTGTCACAGTGTGTGAAGCCTCTTTGTAGCTAGCAACAGTGTAAAGGTATTTTTTTAAAGCCATGCCCACGCTCTGTTTCTCCCCTGTGTTTAGGAGAAGTGTTCAAGGATACAATGTCAAATACACCCAACACACTGTTGAATGGACGCGGATATAATTAGGCAACATGTGGTGTCGGTATGGTGGCAATCACTTCCTGATCATCGCCTTTCGATAAACATTTAACCTCCGGCTGTATTATTAGAGAGGACGGTCGATACATTTATAAAATGTAATATCAACGCCATCCAACGTCTATTCAATTCCTTGTGCCCTCTGACGTGGTCGCAGTGTGAAATTGTCCTCTCATTTTATTTGGTTGTTTTTTTCATATTAGGGCTCAACAACGTAGGTATGCTACCCCCGTGGTGAATCCGGGTCGGGTCACCAGCAACCTAAGCTTTTGTTTTTGTTTGTTTGTTTGTTTGTTTGTGCCGGTCTGTAAATAATCGAGTCTGGACCAGACAAACCAGTGATTGACATCACGAGCATCGATCCACGCAATTGGGATCGATGACATGCATCAACCAAGTCAGCGAGCCTGACCACCCGATCCCGTTAGTCGCCTCTTACGACAAGCATAGTCACCCTTTACGGCATGCATTGGTTGCTGAAGACCTATTCTACCCCGGTATCTTCAGCAGTCAAAGTAGCATGTTTCGGGATCCTGCAGGAAATTTGTTGTTTTTTTACCAATTTACATTCTTTGTTGAAAGAAAGTAGATACGAATGCTGGTAAACGATTGTACTTTTGTAATACTGAGGTGTATTGTTTGATAGGCATTACTTAGAATTTGACGGATGACAAGGTGAACAAAAAAACCTTCTTTATTATTCTGTTTTAGCGACGTTTCGGTATAGATCCTTATCATACCTCCATATCAGAATGATGAGTTCTGATTGGTCCACGTGATCTTAATAATTTACTGAGTATCCCGCCTTGGGGGGGATACATTTTTCAGAGGGGTAATTAATCTCGCATACCCCGCTACGAGCAAGTCCGGCTACAGGTGGGTTTTTGAGAGGCAGAATAAATCACTTCTACTCCGCTTCAAAGCAAAAAGCCGCATGCTTTTTCCGAGTCAATGGAAGTCACGTGACATAGGGCAAGTTATTATCTGCTCAATCAAACAGCTGTTTCCTATCAATTTTGAATTTGTTTGAATTCTATTACAATATCATATTAAAACATATCGGTAAGATATATTCGTTGTGGCAGGATCACTCGGTATACATGGGTTTTTATGATGCAACCCTCGTTAGGTTTTCCGGCGAGTGGTGTTAAACCTATCGAGGGACTGATAAAACCCATGTACCCATTGAGATCCTGCGACAACCTATATTATACCGTTGTCAAGCACGACTGAATAATGCACCTGGTACATGGAGGTTTACACGCATGTGTGTTTTGGAATGGTAAATATATTGTATATTAGCGAGCCTTGGCGAGCTAAGTACATAGTGCTTATTCCTATTACAGGATATTTACCATCCCTAAACACACAAGCGTGATGACCTTTTTATCATATGATGTCACTCTTAAATTCTGTGTAAAAAACTGTTCTCATCTCACACAAACATTTCCTACACATCATCCTACACAATATCACG